GCCTCGGCCGCACGGGGGCGCCCCGAGCCCGGTACTGCGGCCCTGCCGCCGCCGCCCGCGGCCTCGTGCGTGCGTGCGCGGCCTCCGGCCTCGCGCCGCTGCGATTAGCGTGACGGTCGGCCCTCTCCTTCCCTGGCTTTCCCTGCGTGTGTTTTGAGTTTTTCTCTCGATCTTTGTGCTTCTTCTGTTCTAGTTCCTTTCTTCGCTCGTTTCTCTCCGGGTTTTCGGTTCCATTGTTCTGGGTCGCTTGGCTTTTTTTGTTGTTGTTTTTTCTGCTCTGGGCGGGTCTTTGCAGTCGCGGAGCCAGCCAAGCTGAAAGGGCAAACAAGGAAATGCCGAGCGCTGAGCCTCGCCTTGATTTCCCAACTCTTTCCAATTCAAAGTCCAAACAACAAAACAACATCCCTCCCTGGTCGCTGAAAAAAGGGCGCTTGTGCCCGAAGGCTTGCAAAGGCCTTTTCTCCAACTGTTTAGTTGGTTTAATAAGAAGTAGCGTGTGCCCCCAAAGATCGATGCCTGCCTGTGTCCTTAGACCATGCTAGATCAACTAAATAGTGTGTGGGGGGGAGGATATCACATCGACCCAAACAGCCTTGCCTGCCTGTGTCCTTAGACCAACACGGCCATAATCAACACCCCTCTGGGAGGACAAGCAGTCCATTGTTTGAGCGCTCGCCATTTCACTTGGGTAGTGATTTAAAAGGTCAGCCCAGGCGCAATTCAGTGGGTCCCTTTCATCTAGGTCAGGGGCTGGCTGTAGGATGGTGACCCCCTCCCCCCCCCCATCCAAGTACATTTGCAGACCGTTTTCATCCCTCTCCATTCGGTGCGTGGTGCTAACTGCTCGTTTGTCACTTCGCTGTGTTTAGCCACCTGAGCTGGAGAAGGAAAACCTGCATTTTGCGTTGTTGGGCACAGAGCGCAGGCGCTTGGGGTGCGTGGAAGTGGCGTCACTAACCAGCTTGTTCTGCCTTTGTCTCAGAATGCAAAATTCTGAACGGAGCTTCAGGTATTCGTTTCATCTACACGAGGGAAGGCAGACCAAGCGGGGAAGCATTTGTTGAACTGGAAACTGAGGAAGATGTGAAACTGGCTCTGAAAAAGGACAGAGAAACAATGGGACACAGATACGTTGAAGGTTTGACTTAATTGGTCTAGTACCTGACAATGTGTATTTGTTTCCTTTTTAGTTTGTTTTTTTTAACTTGTGTGTGTTAAATGCATGGAGATTTGACAGACTTGCGTACTGTATTTTGTCAGTTGACTAGCTTCTCAAAAGGTAAATGACTTTAACTCTGCTTTTGCTGCATTCAAAAATGCATTAATTCTAAGTGCCTCTTACAGTTTTCAAGTCAAACAACGTTGAAATGGATTGGGTTCTGAAGCATACGGGTCCCAACAGCCCTGATACTGCTAATGATGGTTTTGTACGTCTTAGAGGACTTCCATTTGGCTGTAGCAAAGAAGAAATTGTACAGTTTTTTTCAGGTATGTGGGGTATAAGCATTAGCTGTAGCAGTACTGGTTAATGCTAGAATTACAGTGGCACTGCTCTGTTGCCCAGCACTACTTTCAGTAGTGCAGACTGTTCCACAGTTCTAGATTACGTGGATTGCATAGGATTATATGTGCAAATAAGAGCTCCATTTGCTCCATTGACTAGGCCAGTAGTTTGTTTTTTTTTGTTTTTTTTTTTAAAGTCTTAATGTGGGTCAAATGAGACAATGTGTAGGTTAACTTGGTGACTTTTGGGAACCTTCTTTTAGTTCTAAACAATATCTTGAATGGTTACATTCCATTAATTACAGAGAACGCATTTCTTGCCCTAAAAAGGAGTTTAAAATTCTTGTAGTCAATTTAAATGATTCCACACACGCTGTTTACTGGAGCACCTGTAAATGGCTGAAAATTCTCATTGTTGGGATCAGTAAAGTGAGTGGAATCTCTTAGACTTTGCTTCCTGTTCCTATCTTGAATTTGAGAGAGAAAGTAGTATAGACCTGTACAAAACTAGCGCATGATGTGACTTTGAAAGTGATCTGAATATAGATGTGTTCTCTCTTTTGTTGTTTATTTTGTTTTTGTTCTTTAAAGTATTTGTTTTTAAACTTTTTTTTTAGGGTTTAAGATTCAGGTTTAAATAAATTGTCTTTTGTTTTTTTTACTTTAAAACGTTGATCTTTGCCAACTTAAGTAATGTTGACAATTGTTCTGGAAATTGGAATAGTAGTATGAATGCATAAGAATCGAATGTTGCTTAGGATTAAACTTGCTAATGTTTTGAAAGCAGAAAGTGTGAACATCAATGTGAATCTTCCTTTACTATTGAATATTAGAATGCCTGATTTCTAACTTTTTGCATAGGTTTGAAAAACAAGACTGAGATTTGCTTTTATTTATTTATTTTATTTTTTTTGCTTTTTAAAGTAGGTTAGAAATGGACCATTGCTTAAGTTAGAAAAAAGTTGCATTATATTTTATGTATTTTAGTGAAGTAGTGATATTGAACATTAACAGTTTAAGCGTGTAAATTGCCTAATTTGACTTCTGCTACTTGCATGGTTAATGAGTAATTGCTGTAAACCATTAGAAGTTGTATAAATGTGCCTAACATACACAGTGCATCTTTTCAATTTAGAAATTTAACATTTTTAAATGTAATTCATGAATTTCTCTTACTAAAGCAGTGCTTTTGAAAAAAATATTTATCTAATACTGAATTTAGACTTTGAAATGTGTGCATAAGAGTATCAGTTTCTTTTGTGAACTTCGAGTAAATACTTATACTATGTAAAGCTAAATGTACTATCTTGACTTTTAAATGAATTTCAACAATTTTGAGTATTCTGTAAAGTACTTAAGAAGCTTTTATTTAATATGTGAGTTTCTTAATGCATCCTGCGCTACTGCATCACTACATTTGGTTCTTTGCACAAACTTGCACAGCAGGATGGGTTAAGAATGTAAATTGAATGGTATGTGATCGTGGAGTTTCATGTTGACATGTTTTCTGCTAGACTGTTTATCTAGAACCAACATACCATTCGCTTAAATTTTTTATTACAATTCTGGTATATTTAAAGCTATAAGAAAAATTCATGACTGGGCTTGTGATTTTAATATTGCCCCCTACTGGGGTTATTTGTCCTTGGGTTGAAGGGTTGGAAATCGTGCCAAATGGGATAACATTGCCGGTGGACTTCCAGGGGAGGAGTACGGGGGAGGCCTTCGTGCAGTTTGCTTCACAGGAAATAGCTGAAAAGGCTCTAAAGAAACACAAGGAAAGAATAGGGCACAGGTGGGGATGGATGGTTGGTTGGATAAGTCACTTTTCTTATGGTAAATGTTAATTAAATCCATATTCTCTCTTCTTAAAAAAAACAATCGGCTGATTCCCAAACCACTACATCTTACTCTAGTAGTTCTGATCTGTAACTTGGTCACAAGCTGACAACTGTTTGCATATGTGCAATGTGTGCACATAACCCAAACTTCCTAAAATGCGTGCAAACTAAAAGCAAATTAACACTTAGGTAGACACCGAGTAACTGTGAGTAGTTTAAACTGTGAAACTGAGATTTGACAAAGTTGAGAGACTATGGCTTTAAATTTCTCAAATAGCAATAATTATGCCATTAGCTGTAAAGACACACATAGCACTGTATTACCATAAGAAAATGTGATAATTTCTTCTAAACTTGTTGAAATGTAACAAATGTTCTTTCTATATTAATCTTCCATGTATAATGAGCATAGCTTTCAAGAAATTGTCACAAAGGGTTTTTTATTCTCTCTTACTTGTGACTATTTTTCATTGAAGCATGCATTTTTGCCTATGCTGGATTACTGAAGCATAGGGTGGGGTGACTAGCTCATGCAAAGCTTTTTTTCTTTTTTTTTTAAAAAACCTATGGGTTTAAATCTTGGTGGAGACCAGGTTTTTAACCCTCAATATGTTTTGCCACATGAGCAAAAAATACTGAGTTGAGTGGAGTGATCTCCCTCCTGCTTCCCCCCCCTTCCCCTGCCCCCCCCAACACCTACAAATTTTAAATTTTGGGTGGAACTAACTTGCTCCCCCACCCTTAAGGCTGGGATACTCTGAAGTATAAGGAGCGCATAAACCCTTCAGTAACTGTAATTTCTTGAAATTCACTAATTGGAAAGTGAAATTGTAGAACGTCATTGCCTATATAATATAAAGAAATCTGGCTTAAAATATCCTGCCAGTTTCAAGGCTATGACTAGAATGTTTCGCTTTTAACTTTATACTGTGCTGATTGTGATATTCTTGTGCTTGGAATGAGAGACTGACTATCTTGTGTGGAAAACGTTTCTAGGTATATTGAAATCTTCAAGAGTAGTCGAGCGGAAGTGCGTACTCATTATGATCCTCCCCGCAAACTGTTGGCTATGCAGAGGCCAGGCCCGTATGACAGGCCAGGCGTTGGAAGGGGATACAGCAGTCTTGGCAGAGGAAGCGGTTTTGAAAGGATGAGACGTGGAGCTTATGGTGGAGGTACGTATATGCGCCTGAAAGCTTATGACTTCTAAAAAGTCTGAATATTCTAACTTTTGATTCTCAACCAGGGTGGTACTGTGCCATGGGTGCTAATGCAAACAGTACATTAGATGTGCAAACACCTAGTGTGCAAGATAAATCCAGAGATTGCAAAAAATGAATGTATATAGTGTTAGAAACATTGACTTGTTGTAGTCTTTTTATGTAACCCCCAAAAAAGGCAAAACTTAGAAGTGGTGCTTTTCAAGGGTGCTTTGAGTCCAACAAGGGCTGTTTTTAACTTGTATGTTCGACTGATTAATTCCAAGCAGCTATTGAGTCTCTTCCCCCCACAAATGATGCAGTATATGATGTTTCGTGTTCTGTAGATGACATTCTTTTGTCCATCTTCCAGGCTATGGAGGCTATGATGACTACAATGGATACAATGATGGATATGGCTTTGGTTCTGATAGATTTGGAAGAGGTAAGATTTCTTTAATAGGAATTTAAACAAAATTTCAATACATGTCTGAAGTAACTTTAATACATCTGAAAGACCTAGAATGGACTCTCTTCTCTACAGGGATGTCCGACCACAGATATGGCGACGGAAGCTCTACGTTCCAAAGTACGACTGGCCACTGCGTACACATGAGAGGATTACCTTACAGAGCAACAGAGAACGACATTTATAATGTAAGTTTGAATACTCTTCCGTGCTACATTTTGAGCAATCTGCTGAAATGGTAATTATTGTAAGCCTTGATAGCATTAAACCTTCAATTCTGCCTTGAAGAGGAAAATGCTTGTTGCAGAATTGTTGCGTGTGGTCAGTGGCAGATATGTTTAACACCATGTGAATTTTATGCCTAGTTCTTCTCGCCTCTAAACCCTGTAAGAGTACACATTGAAATTGGACCAGATGGTAGAGTGACTGGAGAGGCAGATGTTGAATTTGCTACTCATGAGGATGCTGTGGCTGCCATGTCCAAAGATAAAGCAAATATGCGTAAGTCTCTCCACCTGTCAAAATAGACTTCCTTCGACTTACAAGCCTCCCCAGGTCGCTGTGGAGGCCAGCCTGGATGTGGATTCTGACGAGACTAGTCTCTAACCTCTTTTCTTTTCAGAACACAGATATGTAGAACTCTTCCTGAATTCCACAGCAGGAGGGAGTGGTGGTGCATATGGCAGTCAGATGATGGGAGCAATGGGTATGTGTAAATCTAACTGCATTTTAAAAGAAACACTTTCTATTTAACGAAGCTGGCTAATATTATACAGCTCCTGCTTACTGTTATGCCTGGCATAAAAACTGAAATTCAACATTCTGTCTTAATCACACAGTCAAGGAATCGGAAGGGGTAGTCCAAGATTGGAACACTAGCACATTGCCAGGTATTATAAACCTTTTGGGAATACATTCAACCAGTTACTTAGGCTGTTAAGTAAATTGTGCTGAATGTGAAGAGTGTGGTGAGATGAGATGAATGCTTTTGGGGAGTGCATGGGATGGCACCAATGATGTGGGAGATGCTAGTCACCCTTTCCCTTTCTTTCCAGACCAGGGTGGTGATGGAGGGCGTATCTGATTTAACTGACTCCCTTGTCTAAAAAGTTGAGCTTAAAGTTGCTTTGGAAAGCTTTAAGCTTTTTTTTTTTTCCCCCCAACTTCTAAAATTGGGTGCAAAATGACTACAGCAAATGTTTCCAAAATGACTAGGCTGAATTGATTTGGCCTTTGAAGAGAGAGAGCCTCCTCTACATGACTACTTTTAATCTACAAATCGGATACCCCTCTTGATAGTTACTGGTCTCTTGGGATTAGTCCTTAAAGTGGTGGTTGGCTTCTGCTTTTGGGGAGGGGTGGGGGGGGGGGTGTGTGTGTGTGGGTGCTGTTCCTATAGCACGCTGATTGCAAAATGTAATGCTTTTAAAACTAAGCTTAAAAAGTAAGCTTCTTATTTCAACTGAAATAGTTTTTGCAAAGGTATCTGACAGACTTTAAAGTCTGAAAGTTAAGCATCCTAGAAGTTAGTTCTCCTAGTGGCAGTCTGAACCTGTAATCATAGCAACTCCTAAATGAGTGTAGATGCTCCCCCTTCCAGGCATATAAGCTGAGGCAGGTGACATTCAACATGTCCTAGTATTGACCATCACCATACCTCTGACAAGGGCAATAGAGGCTGTGGCAAGGATCTAAGCACCGATTTGTCTAACAGCAAATATAAAGCTTCATATTTGTATCTTACACTGCTTTAAAGAATGAAACAGTTGCATTTAAAAGTCTCTCTGCAGCTTGTTACATAGCTCAAGTTGTAGAAGTAAAAGAAATCTTTCCCCTTCTGAGTTCCAAGCATTGGTGGAGAGCCTTCTGTCTAGCAGAACATTTCAAAGTCCTTGTCACAAGTAGCTGAGGAATGCTTTTGCGTTTCAAAGTGAGAAGTCGGAGCATCTGAGGCTTACAAATTGCAGGCTGCACTGACTTTTTAGACAGAGGGCAGGGCCAGTAGAACTTTTTTTTTTTTTTGTTTCCCTCCCTCCCCCTTCCAGGTGTTGATTATTCAGCCAAGCTTAAGTGCTAGTAGATTTTTGAAGTGGCCTATTGGAAGCATAAGAATAAAATTCCTGCAATAAGAGGAGCTAAGACAGTATTCTCTCCCTAGAAATGTTCATGTCAGCGAGTCCCCAAATCGGACAGGGCTTCACTGAGTAGGTAGTATGTAGTCTGTAGACCTTTGTAATGGACAGGTCTTTGATAGTCAAGGTCTTAACGTTTATATCCTTAACTTGAAAGGAAACCAATCCAGTTATGGTGGTCCAGCTAACCAGCAGTTGAGTGGGGGTTATGGAGGAGGATATGGTGGTCAAAGCAGCATGAGTGGATATGGTAAGATGATTTTTGTTAGCCTTAGGTGGGTGTTTGATACAGCTGGCTGGCTAGGACACTTGGCCAAGATCCCTGTGTAGGTGTGCAAGGGTAAAGGTAGAGGCTGAGCAGCACCATCTTTTAATGCATTGACACTGTTCACTGTTGGCCTGAACTTTAGCAGCTAGTTCCCTGGGGGTAGGGGGAGGAGAAGCTTTCTGAAAGCTGGAAATCCAAGCCTGAAATGGGACTTCATTTTTTATAAGGGGAAATAAACTCATTCATGCTCCAGTTTAAACGAACATGGCCCATCTCCTGCTCTTCCACGTAGAAATGAAGTGATTCCTTGATGAAATGGTGGATTCCACCTTTCTGACCAAGGAGACCTTGCTGTTTTTGGAGGATAAAAGCAGGCTGCACTAGAAGTCTGGAGGCCAGCCAACGTGGCAGGACTTACTGCTGTGCATCCCATCTATTAAAATCTGGGGAACTGTTTTGCAGTTGGGTTTTTAAAGAAGTGGTGGCAAAAACTTTATTTGAGTAGTAGAAACTTGGGGTTTTTTTAATTTTATTTATTTTAATAATACGGGAGTGTGCAAGGTGGCCTGGAAGGGGTTGGCTGGTGAGATGTCATGGGTATGCTGAGGCATGGTCTAGCTGTCTAATACTTGTCTGTCTTCCCTCCCCTTGCAGGTAGCCAGGGTGCAATGAACAGCAGCTATTACAGCAGTGGGAACCGTGCATCCATGGGAGTGAACGGCATGGGAGGGATGTCCAACATGTCCAACATGAGTGGTGGCTGGGGAATGTAACCGCTGACTTTTGGTCAATCTTTTTTAAAAAAAAAAACAAACAAAAAACTAAGTTTAACAGTTTTGCAATACGAGCTTGTGATTTATGCTTTACTGTAAGTGAAATCGGGATTGTTATTTTAAAACTTCAGGTTCAGTATTTTTGAACATACAGAAGAACATTCATCTAGGATGTAATAACAAAGTTGAGTAAAGACTATAACTGTTAAACGATTTTCAGCTTTTTCTCAAGTTAGTTTTGTTGTAGGAGTGTATTTAAGCAGTAAGCGTATTTAGGTTTAAAGCTGTTTGAATTATGTTAAATGTTGCTCTTCGACCATATTACATCCAACACTGTTTTGCATACATGTTGAGAAACATGCTTTTTTGTAAAAACAATATAGGAGCTGTGTCTGCAATTCAAAGTGAACATTTGGCATGTTAGTTCTAGTTCATTTCTTTTAATACCCTGTAAGGCACGTTTAATTTTTTTTTTTTAAGTTAATGGGGAAACATGTTTGAAACGCAATACGGCTACTTTAGGATTTTGGTCTTGGTGTTCGTATAAAATTCTGAGGCCTTGATTTAATCATTCATTGTATCGTGATTTCCTTTTTAGGTGTATTGCGCTAAGTGAAACTTGTTAAATAAATCTTCCTTTTAAAAACTGGAACTCTCTCTCCTTTATTGGAAGGATTTGGTACGAGCCTTCCTGACTTGGAGAAAGGGGTGGGCAGTTGCAGGCTGTATATGCTGTTCATTACCACCAGCTGCTAGCCTGAGGAGAAGCACGTATGCCTGGATTTCTTATGTTCTTGTGCTGTGCACCAGTTTTAAGCCAGCATATTTGTAAGCCAGCATATTTGTAAGCCAGCAAGTAAAGATGGTGATACTTGAGACTTGCTATCTCTTCATTTTGCTAGAAGCAGGTTTTTGCATTTGCCTCTTAGGCTATAGGGCAGAATGTGCTGCATGGTTTGCCCACACAGGGCTTCAAATTGCCCCCAAGCATCATTCCTTCTAGATGACCTGTGCTGCCTTTGTGCAGATAGAGGCTGCTTGTAGGAAGTGGGCAGTCCCTAAGCTGAAATTGCACTACGCTAATGGTTGAAGTATGGAATAACCTGTTTGCTACCCAACTCTGGTGAAGTCAACAGAGTTGTAACTATTAACAGACCTTTTCTAAAGTTCTTTTGCCAGCACTAAAGGTGATTAAATGTGAGCTAGACTATACTGGAGGTGTACAGCTAGAGTAGTTTGGCCCCTCACCCAGATTAACAGCAGCCCTGCAGAGAACTGTGGTGTATGATGCATTGCTCAAGCAAAGCTATATGCTATACCCCCCCCCCATTAACTCCCATGAACACCTTGCAGCTTCCTGTAATGAGACCTAGATCTGACTGCATCTGCAGCTGCCATTATGTGTTCAAGGTCAGGCATGAGCGTGTCCATTCCCTAGAACCCACCACCTTTTTCCTTTCAAGCAATAGTATTACAGCTAACTCCCCTTTCACCCCCATTGGACAAGGTTGGTATATGATATTATAAACACTGATTTATTCCCCCCCACTGACTTGAAGTTGATGCTGTGTTCACCTTAGCCACACACTTCTTCCCTTCACTTGACTGGCAGCCCCACTGCACTGTAAGGATTGATGTTTGATCTGTGCCCTGTACCTCGACTCCCTGTTGCCTATCAGCCATTTCATGGCTTTGATCATTTAGGGCAGTTATTTATTAAAACTAATAAATCCCTTAGGTTAGCAATTGCTAAAGTTAAGGTTGCCCACTCAACTGAATTGCGGGATTAGTGCTATTACATTTTCATTCTCAGAAGGAAATTAAGCCACAGCTTCTCTTGGACCTGCAGTTGGAATTAAATTGACTACATCAGTCACCTAAACTTCATTAAACCCAAAGGCCAATAGCAGTCATAAAAATCACTCTAAACAAATGCTCTAAGCTACAAACTCTGTATTGGAGAGCAGCGTTATACTGATTATGATGACAGCTACACAGTAGAGTTAGTATAAGCATTGATCCCTGGCCTTATCTTTATTGTTTTTGATCAATAGTTGATAGCTTGTGGTGACTGGCTGCCTGCACTGGCACAAGCAAACTCCCGAAGACTTCGTTGTATCCCCTGAATTCCAGAAGTTGTTCAGCTTGCTCATTTTCCCCAGAACAGATGCTTCTTTCACCCATTTATCCTGAATTTCACCCTGACTGCCCAAGGCCAGTCTGCTATTCACCAACTTCTTCCATTTGCCCACCTTTTTGCCTGTATTAGATTCCTACAGTTCTTCACGCTGCCAGGACAGCCTTGTCTCAAATTGTGCATTTCTGGAATTGCAATGCTTGTATCTGGTCTAATACAATCCCACCCCCTGTTGTGTAATTACAGCACATTTCATAATTCCTACACCATGCCAGCATGCACAGTTAATCCAGAGGAAGGTACAAAGAGAAAATGCTGAGAGGGCTTTGTCTGTGGATGTAATTGCAGACTCATTCACAGGAATGGAAAGTCAAGATGTCAGTAGTAGCCAGAAAAAAAAAAGCTCACACTTAAAACCAGAAATAGCAGAGTCCTTATTTAAAACAAGCCTCCCTTCCACTCAACACTCATGAAAGCCAATGATGTGGTAAACTCGGATGTAAACTGAGCCCTTTTACAGCTAAGAACTCAAGGAGAACAGGGCAAGTGTTCAGAACTACATTCACAGAGTTTGGAGCATTTGCAGACACAGGCGCCCATAACAATCTCCTTCACCAGGCGAGGAACTAAGCACTAAACTTCAAGATTTTTCTAATTACAGACTTTAAACTCATAGGCACATAGCATGCAAGCCTATGGGCAGGCCTTTCACAGAATGGATCAGGCTAGCAGTAATGGGTGACACGGCTAATTGTGCACTTCCAGCTCCTGGAGCTCTAGTATTAAGCCAACTGATTTTTGCAGGGGCCAAAAGGATGTAATGTAAACCAAAAGCACAGCTGAGCTGCACACAGAACAACCATCTTCATGAAAGAACATCATACCCAGGAGCAACCTAGATTTTTCCAACTCTTACCTACATTATCACTAAGTGACTCCAGAACTGGATATAGTATTGCTTGCATTTTAATAAGTGTACCAGTACCAAGAAGGCTTGAAGTTGAATGTTGCTACTATAGGCCCCCCCCCAAAATAGAAGCAACCTATAGGAGTTCATTTTAGAAAACTACAGCCCTCCCTGCCTCCAAAAACACCTTAAGTAACTCAAACTGCTTGTCTCACTCAGAGTTAACTCCTTGATGTTCGTACTGAAATGACACTACCCAATGTAGTCCATGTATTTATTCCACCTTGAACCACTGGAGTGTGGTCACTTTATTTCAGTACTCATCTTCTCAAATACTCCCAAAGCAGCATTTTCTTTCACAATTAAAATAGGAATCCCCTGTGCTCCCATGACTGACTGAGTTATGATTTTTTCCCCTTGAAGAAAGCAGCAAAGACCAGTATTAAAACAGCTATTTTTCACAGTTTAACAACATCTTTATTGCATTATCACTGTATTTTATTCATAAGTGATTTAGAAACAAATCTAGTCTGTTACTCTGATTTAAGTATAGTGAAGGCACATTCATTTATACATTTTATAAAGCTTTTTCCATAGACATAAACTGTAGAAGACTGACAAATTTATCTTCAACTTAGTTTGACCACATACAAAACTGTACATAACCACCATAAATGTTATCTGGAATATAGTAAAGTGAACAGTTACAGCAGAACCATGAGGTTACAGTGCAGAAAAAGTGATTTGTTTAAGGGATCAGTCAAATCTATAAATGTGACGTGTACAAAGTTTTAAATACAAAGAAAATAGCTTTTTCTATATATATATAAAATACAGAAAAGAGTGAATTTGCATTTCAGTCTCAGGAAACTGAATATTTTGAACTGACCTTTTCTATGATTGTTAATTCTCTCAATTTTATTAAGAATTCTATTAACACAACATTACTTTTCATAATTCCTGTAAAGTCCCTTAATCTTTTAAATCAGATCTGTTTACTTGACCTGTTCTATAATGGAAAGCAAATCAAAAGGACTAAAGAGATGTTTTCTGCTACACAGGGAATATTGGGAATAAAGGGTTTAAAAAAAACAAAAATCTAGTCTTTCAAGGTTAGATTGGTCCTTCTGAAACAGCCGAAGCCTTAGGTAGAATTAGAGGAACATCTCTGAAGCAGTAAAGTGTGACATGTATCGCAAACACGGACAGGCTTAGGGTAGGAAGGCAGCGCGAGTTCATTGCTGGAACAAGTGTTACAGAAGATGTCACCACAGTTCCTGCAGTGATGCTGTAAGACAGTTAAAAAAAAAAAATACAAGAAAGAAATCAGGTAATTAAGCCAAGTTACAGCAGGCCATACAACTGTGGCGAGTTCCACGAATCCCTTGGCATCATCCACTATTTTGGCGCTTCCACTTTACCCACGTCCAGGGCTCTCTGCCACACGAGACCTGTACTCTCAGCATGGAGGTTAGCTTAGAGTCATGCATCAGCCCACTGTATTTAGGAAACTAAGAAAACAAAACAACCCCCTCCCCAAAAATGTGGGGACACAAAAACAACGAAACCCCAAACCCATCTCCCCTGAACTTCCAGTCCTTGTCATCCAGAAAGGGAAATCAGATGGGAAGCCGAGCTCAAGTTTCTCGTGAGGGTGTGGAACACCTATCTAGCTACAAGTTCTTCCCATTAGGCAACAAACAAAGTCACCATGGAGAAGATTAAACGCATTTAAGTTACGGGTAACAGACACACGCATTTAATGCTTTGAAAGTTAAATGTCCCCCCTCTCACTTCACTTGAAAATGCAAGTGTTACTCAGCAGCAAGTCAGTTTTCAGAAGCTGTCTCACACAACTAAATGGCAGCAAGTTAGAGGCTTGTGAATAATTCTCTAGCAAACAGGGTTGTGATGCCATATGGGGAAGATGATACTCCGTCAGATAAGTATTTTGTTAATTAGTCTGAAACGCACACAAATGCAAGTGTTTGTTATTATTTCCATTACCTTTCTTCTTGAGATGGAGAACTCTTTTTCACACTGCTTACAGTGAGTTGCTTCATCATCTTTTAGCCAGGTATGACCCTAAAAGAGGAATTTTCTGTCATAAGTGCAGGAAAGATGCATTGGAGTTATAAGTCACTTGGAAGGAAGGTTGCACACTTTAGTTACAGTTGGAACTCCCCAGGCCCAGATTTGAGAACATTTCAATGTTAAGTTACATGCAGCAACACTTAGGCTGAAATCTGATCTTGCTTCATTTACATGTTCATAATGTGCTAGTATGCAGTACCTTTAGTGCTTTATTTACTTCCTTAATGTCTTCCATCTTCAGCTTGGATCTAAAAAGGGAAGTTAATTCTTATTTTATTATGATTTAAAAAAAAAGAATCAAAAGGACTGTTTGGAGCACCCATACAGTATCACGGATCTGAAACCAAGAGGGAAAGTAAGCTTTCCAGTCCTGTGATCAGAGCAAACCAGTCCCACTGAAGGCAGGTACATGCACACATGAAAGTCACAGGACTGAGTTCCAGTTCAGCCTCCTACCTTCCATATTGACCTACCATTTCCTAATATTCACAACTTCACAGATGACTAGATGCCCTTTAGTGACTGTAACCAATCAGTATGAGAATCAAAACTACATTTCCTCCCCCCCCCACGCCAAATAATTGAAGGGTTCAGTTACTGGAACTTACTGGCTAAGGTGCAGCCCCATTTCTTGGAGAGCTTGTTCTTGTTCTTCACAGATTTTCTCTAATTGCCGTTTCTCATCTTGTAGTTTTCGCAGTTCCTATGAATCACACACACACTAAGCATTCCAGCCAGAACATGAACACTGGGCATCTTCGCCGCTGTCTCAGGACTTCATTTATTTTTTAAAGTTATGCTTATGTACCCTGGACCACAGACAAATCAACCCAACATCTTCCAGGACTAAACCCCCACACCCCCCATGGTAACAGGTAGCACGTGAATGGTGCGGTGCCAAGTGAAATAATGCAGATCACCATGGGTCAACTATTTAACCAATTCTACCAGAGGGGAATAGATTCTACACCTCTGCAATCCATGTCCAACTATGCTAACACTTGTGGGGTAAACCAACAAAATGCTGAGTGGTTCGATCACCACTCTGCTACTATACGCAGTCACAGAGAAGGAGGACTGGAAGGGGCCTCCAGAGGCCATCTAGTCCAGCACCCAGTCTTAGGCAGGATCATCTCTGTCCCTACACAAATCCATAATCTAAACTCCACATAAGACTACCCTCAGCCCTGACACGAGACCCAACACCATACACCGTACCTGCTAGTGTCCCACTTATATAAGACCTTGCCTTCTGGTGTGTGTCCAGTGCCTCTGGCACTGGAGACAACTGCTCCCGAATGCACAGACATGCTACTGCCTATCCTCAAGGAACAGTTTTTACAGTGAGTCATTTTTAACTGTGACTTTAAAAAGCACCTACACAGAAGCTGCAAAAAGCCCTTCATGCTGAGGGGAGGACACTCATTTTAAAAACATTTCCCTCTGAAACCTGGTGCTCTAACAATAATGGACCTTTGGTTTGTAACATCCTGTTTTCCCAGTTTTGTAACAGTTTGTAACATACCAGCTCCCATCCTTTGTATTTGCTTGTAGACAGCCAAGTTGTTAGTTTTTTTTCTTGTAACCACTTTCACAGAAGGAAGCAGCAAGTATGGGAAGAAAAAGCTTTACTTCACTGAGGCAGCAAGAGGTTGGACAGCACCTCTTCAGTCTGCATCCTACATACTTTCAGGTTTGAAGCACTTACCTTTTTCAACCCTTCCACTTGCTGCAGTTCTGTTTTTAGCAGAGCAGTGGTGTCCTTCTCTTGATGGAGCTCTCGTTGCAAGGTCTGCCTCTGCTCTTTTTCAGATTTCAGTTCCTTCTCCAGAGCGGAGCTGTTAAAAATAGTATTGGTTCTAACAGAGCCTGTTTTCTGTAGTAGACAATACTAGGGACAGGGGGGAAAAAAAAAGAGCCTTTGTGCAACCAACAGCAAGATCGGAAACACTGTTCCAGAGGTGGGGTATGAGCACACTGCGCCATTGCAGAGACCAACCGTGTTCTTGGGTCACTGTAAAAAGATGCACACATGCTCGACTGCTTAGGTATGAGCAGTAGTGTGTCATGTTGTGTCCCGTCCGTGTCCCCGCCGCACACAGTGGTCCATTAACACAGAGTACAACCACACACAACTCAGGCTAGGAAGCCAGCACGTCAGAAACAGTAGCAGAAAAAGGACAAAGATTATGTTTAGCTGCAAACCCTTCTAGTGAAATAAGAGGTTCTTTGATCACTGACATTAGAAGTGAAGGAGGCTCATGCTTGAGGATTATGTTAATAGGAAAAGCTGGGGCAGGGTGGGGGAGAAGGCAAGACAACACGCAGCCTGGGAGACTGAAGGGGTTGTCAGGGGAAGAGACATGACAGGAAAAGTAGGCTGTAGGCAGGAGACTGGGAATTATAGTTGCTGCTTTTGGACAAGAGTAAAAGAAATCCAATCATGAATGAGTGTGTGAGATGGGGGGGGAGGGGAGACAGACAGACAGACAGAGGCAGCATTCCACTTTCTATCACCCGACATTAGTTGTATTGGTTGCTGCCTTCTTAAAAAAGGCACATCATACATACAAACAAAATCAAGGAGATTTGATAAATGACGGAAGGCCACCCCCCAGTCATCCGACTGCAGGCCACAGTGAATAAGTGGAGAGGGCAGTCCTTTTACAGATTAAAAGCAATACTATTATCCCTGAAGACAATCAGATTGTTACTGCAGGTCTGAAGGCACTAGGCTGGATCAGCAGCCCCTCCTAAATCCCATTTGTTCCAGTCCAGCAGCATAAAGGAGGCAGCTGGTGCCTTAGCTGTAGCTGAGAATTATGTTATGTTAAGGGACTCGCATAAAATGGCATCCTGGAACCAGCTGGGTGCAATCCTGGCTGCTAGGAGGTTTCCTTGGAAAAATGTACCCACTGGCATGAGATAGAGTAGCCTGAAGTGAAAGCTCATTCACTAGGCTCTCAGTAAACTGCAAATCTAGTACAAACAAAAGAAGGTGCTGTTCCTGTTGGCATCACATCCCTTCAGAAAAGGAACTGTTCCTAAGAAACTTTCCTGACCAGTGATCTTAAGTTCTCAGACTGCCAAAACAGACAGATCAGTAAAACAGAAGTAATATCTAAGAATGAGAGGTAAGCAACCCATCCAGAGACCCCACTCTGACACTCAACAGCTGATTTGTTTCATAGCATTTGCCAGATATCAGCATAAACACAGATGGTATCATTAAGGCCAACAGACTTGGAAGATATAAAAATATGCAATACAGGTGATTTTTGAAGCAGACAGGACTCTCAAATCAACACGCTACCCCAATGTACAGAACAGCCGAGTTCCTCTGTAAGTACCATAAAAAAAAAAACAAGTACCATTGACTATCCAGTTGGGTGATATGTTGCCGCCAAGCCTCAATTTTGCCAGCAAATTCTTGCTTCATCCTGTTACATTTTTCCTCTGCCACCTGCTGAGCCTTTTCTGCATGCTGTAGCCTAAAGCACAACAAAATACACAGTACATTTATTAGCAAAAATGCATGAGAATAACTGACCTCTTTTTCTAAGAAAACAACACTTATTATAGAAAAAATGGGTGTAATAATGAGACAAGTTAAAAAGGCACATAAATGGGGCATTAAAAAGATAAGAATTCTGCAGAAGCCAAAACCTCAGACAGATTTATGACAAAACAAACGTATTGTCCATACTTTCACATCTACACCTGCGTGGATTGGATCTGTGTGTACAGTCAGGGAGGGGGAAGACACTACTGGTGGGTGCATGTGCACAGGGGGGGAAGGGGATAAGGAGAGGAGGGAGAGAGGGGAGAGATCCTAACCCTGCACAGGACATGGTAAAAACTGATGGGGGTGCCCGAGGACTGTTCTATGTTGCATGGGAAAAACCCCCCATGGGTTGGAGCTCAGTAAAGTGCGGAAGGCAGCTGTGTTGTAACAGTCATAAGGAGCTCCATTATGCTCAGCCCTGCCCAGAACACTCCTAATCTCTAGTGGTGCCTCCCAGTCTGCTCAGACATGTGCTGCCAACACTGGAGTTAGGGAGGGAACACCAGACAATGGAAGTACGCAGACTGCAACAGTCTTGTCAACTGCTCTTCAAGTATAGTCACACCAGAGAGAAGCAACCATTTAAGTTTCATATTTCTCAAGTGACCTACATCTATTACATGGTGGATAGATGGGGCTGGACTTGATGGCTTGAGAGGCCACTTCCCGGCCATCTTCCCAAGTGCAGGAAGGCTGCTGTGTGGGGTGAGCACACACCTTTTGGGAAATAAAAGAAAGCAAGACACGTAGCGCTAATTTGGATTCTGGCCGATAGGAAACATTCTCTCTCTAGCAAAGTTTTCCAGTATTTGATACAATAAGTAAATGAATTCAACTGTCCTGTAACCTGTCGAAGATTTGGCAACAAGATGTTCAGCTTCTGTAATCCGAATGGGAGGGATTTTAGTTCCATTTTATGTGAAAAAGCTCAGTGTCTTATTTATGGAGTGCCCACTGAAGTCTTTTTAATACACATGAATATTGGAAGCCCATCCATTACTGTCTGTCAGTACTGCAGGTTGAGAGTCTGTAACTATTACCTCTCCTCCATCTGCTTCATAGTAGAGAGCATCTCATGGGTTTTCCCTTCAAAAGATGATATTGTTTCTTTTTTCACTTGCAGTGAGCTATCCGAGTTCTGAGGGGAAAAACAAACAAAAAAAAACAAAACAAAAAACACATGCAGATTATTTCAGGCAGAAGAAAAAACAAAAAGGAAAAAGCATACCCAAAATAAGGTTTAAGGACAAGCTTAACTATTGTAGAAAACCACACAGATATTTTGAAGAGTTTGATTATTTTAGAAGGAAGCTACAAACAGGGCGCTCTCTTCTGGTGCACTGAAGAGAGTAAGAAACAGCGAGGGTCTGGGAACTCGCATGCCAGGAGTTCCAGGGATCAGGTTTCTAGAAGAGGACACAATGGTGGAGGATTAAGAGCATTTCTGCCAAATTCTCAATTGCTGCATTTCTAACCATTTTGCATCTTTTCTATAGGAAGAGTTTTATTCTTCTCCCAATGAATTTAAATCAGATAAGGATGGTCCATCTACTTGATATTTGAAAGCCAGCAATTAGATGGTTTCACAGTTTGAGGCCACAGGAGTCCATCTGGCCTCACCTCCTATACCTTACAGGCGGTAAGGTGTTCCCCGACAGCACCACTCCCCCAGATAGTATCACACAGAACTTCAGCAACAGTGCTGAACAGAGCCAAAAGTACCTCTCAGCAGTTTGCTTGTGGTTCCCTGTTGTCCAAGGGATAATTTTTCAAAGGTTAACATGTTAGTCTTCTGTTCTAGTCACTAGACCACTCGTCAGGATTTCTGCGACCCTATTCTCCCCCATATGATGAAAAATTCGATTGATTTTTCTACTGTAGTCCTTTAAGGGTATCAAACAGAATTCCACAGAGCACTTTAAAGGAAACTCAGACAATAATTTATATATAAGCCTACTCAATCTCTAATGAAAAGACAGGATAAGTGAAACTGTGGAAAGAAATGCTTAAGAGACAGGTGTAATGGAAGTACTACTACTAAGAGGATTACCGGAGAGTAAAACTATCCGTTACATGTTGATAGAAATGCAGATAAGCAACTAACAAAAAAGACATATATTTGTTCAAAGCACACCTGTGTACAATTATTGAAAACAGTTATTGTTGGTTCTTGACATCCATTTTTGATGCATTTACCTGAGATTTGTGAAACATCTGCAAATTAATAGCTTTAACTTCTTCCAGCTGTTGGCGAAGAGCAACTAAAGTGTCCTGTTTTTCATGCGTATCTTTTTCCAGAAGTTTCATGGCAATTTCCATTTCTGTTTTCATTCCAATCTGCAGCTCCAACTCCTTCTCTAATTCCTTAGAAAGAGATTCCCTAGTTATTGCTATATAGGCACACATCACTTAAGAAATACATATGGTACTAACCCTATCCAAAACTTATCTGTGTGTTATTTCAAAGGAATAATCTTAAACTGAGATGTTAGGGATAATGAGACCAAGCTCAAAGAGGGCAATATGAGTAGGTTAAAGGACGTAACCTGAACACATTATATCCCAGCTCTCTGCATCATGCTGGTTTATTTTACTGGTAGTCCTGCTCTAGAATATAGGAGTGAGTGCCTAATTCAACCTCTCATGCTAGCTGCATTCTTTTTCTTCTTTTAGAAGTTAAAAAATGTTGCGGATCTGAACAGCAGACAGGGACTCTTAACCCAGCTAGCCTAATCAGGCTGAAAAAAAGTGTTCTTTGAGAGGTAATTGTTATTAAAAAAAGAAAAGAAAAACAAACAAACAAAAAAAAAAAACACACAACAAAGTGCAAAGACAGAACTGGTTTTGTGCAGGGACAGCTTTTAAACCAAATGTCTTCAATGGTGTGTATATACACACACACCAGTCCTTGGTTGGATCAGTACAGGTCAGTCGCATTTTATCCAGGCATTACGTTCTGAAGTCAGTGCTTAAGGCGAAAAATCGCGTATAGTCAAATCGCGATTACTGTGCCAGCAACTTGACTAGCAGTGACTGCCTCTGCCTCCAAAACCTTCCGCTGCCGCGGTGGAGCCGTGCTTAGAGCTGTGTGGCTGGTGGCAGCGGCGCAGCGTGGGGTGGTGGTGGGGATGGCTGCATGCTGTCCGGCCACCAACACGTCCGGCGGCCGGCCACACAGCTCTGGACACAGCTCCATGGCGGCGGCAGGAGGTTTTGGAGGCAGAGGCAGTCGCTGCTGGCAGTGTGGTGGTGGCCGGGCCTCAAGGTAAGCGGCAGCGCCGCGTGCAGACTCAAGCCCCCCCCGCGTATAGTTGAATTTGTGCAAGTTAAAATGCGCGTATGATGCAACTGGCCTGTATAGCAAACAGGAGGAGGACAACTCCATTCTTTAACGTTCTGTGTGTTCTGGTTCCTCCTAGACACTTTTACTGTCTAAAAGCTCTGGTTACTGAGGGCATTTATATACTTGCTCCAGGAGTGGGGAAGGAGAAAGTGGGGTGGGTTTAATTAGGAGTGGCTCTAATTAAAAGTGCCCGGAGCATCACATACGTCAGTCTCCCTGTGCTGAAAAATGGCAGTGGAGGTGCTTTAACTAAAGCTCGAACAAGCTTTAGTTAAAAGTACCCCTGCAGTCATTTTTCAGCATGGGGATGCTGATACACAGTGCTGGAGTCTGCTGGAGCACAATAATTACCATGCTGCAGCAGACGCAATTAATCGAGTCTGCTCCAACACTCTGTAATTCCAGCGCATCAGAGCAGCTTCACTGCATGTGTATAGGCACCCTGAGAGATTGCTGCTTGTAAATCTATTTGTACCCAAGCTCATCGTCACCAGAACTCTACCGGATCTTCTGCATTATTTGTTTATAATGTTACACTAATAAAGAGAGAGGAAAACCCATGTTCTCCCATTGAATTCTGCAATAAAAAAAAAAAAAAAAAAAAAAAAAAAAAAAAAGTTACCCTCACCATCCTAATTCTTTTCTCCTCTTTCAACTGCTTCCAGACATCAGTGTACATTTCATCCAGACCTTGACGTGACTGTTTATAGGTATCCAATTCTACTTTTGTATCCTGTTTTGTTACCTCGATGAAAAATTAGAGGGGGAAAAAAATAAAAATACCTGTGAAGCCTGCTTGCAATCTGATTAAGGAGACATAACTTATTTCTATCCTTCCTTTTAAATAAAATGCAATTTCCCACAAACAAATAGGATCTAGTTTACATTTAGCAAGGTGGCCAATATTAACAAGGTAACGTCTAAGATGTCAGTATGGATATTTTAAGCAACATTGTGCTTTTGAATGTATTTCTTTCTGCATACCATTTTTCTTGTCTTTCTCTCCGCCCCACCCCCTCCAATCTGCAGTCTGCAATGAATGGACCTCATATTATGCATTATGGTACAACGCTTTTAAATATTTATCTAAGAAATACATTATTAAGTGATGCAAAAAATAAATCAGTACTAATAAGCAGCGTATGTTTGTGATCAAATTAAAAATATTGACGTAATTAGAGTAGAGTGTGGCTTGTCTTAAATACTGCCCATAAAGTTTATCTGGATGACTAACCTCTACACTCTTTTCACTCCGTTCACGAATTAATTCATTTTGCTGTTTTAACTGCTGCTGTTCTTCCTGAAGTGAACTAATCCGGTCAGTTGCTGCTGCAAGCTGATTAAAGAGAAAGGCTGTGTGTAGCGATTAAATGCAGACAAGAATGCATCATCCGGATGAGACTGAAACAAAAATCTTAGCAACTCTTATGAAACATACTATATTAAGTACAATCAATTAGTTCTCATTACTCTTTAAAATACAGGTTAGCAGGTAGGTAATTTAGGGAGCTAAAACTCCATATTGTTGCATCAATTTCAGTTCTGGATGTAGGTTACCCAAAAATTACCAACTTGTGACCAGGGTAATGCATGTCACAGATAGTATGGATCAACACAACTTTCTTTGGGATGTTTGGGAATCAACTAGAAGGGACATCTGCCATTATGAACTGATACCCAATGCTTTTCCTTCCTGGAAACTGATGTGATTTCACTTATTTCTTTATTTTATCTTCTCCTTGGTCTCGTTTTCCCTCTTGGTTTTAGAGGGAAAACACAAACAACTCAGGGGGAAAAAACTTCACCTCCTGCTGTGAGGATGGAAGATCATAGAAAAGTAGGGCTGAAAGGGACCTCAATAGATGATCTAGGATGGAGTGAGTGAGGTATTTAACAACTTATTACTGGCCAAGTAATCTTTATACACATTTTGTAAAAGAGAATATTCTTTTGAGTCTGCACACTTCTTGGATAGGAGTGTCTTCCATTAAACTGACATCTAGCAGCTACAGCTTCCTAGATCTTAATACCATGTTTATCATGGTTTTATATGCCAGAAAACTTGTAAAGTGCTCCGACTCAAGTTATTCCTATTAAAGCCCACATTTCAAATGCATGAAACACATAATATGTAAGGCAAAGTCCTGGTTCATTAAATTCAAAAGCAGAATTCCCTTTCAGCTCAAAAGGAAAATAACCCAACTTGCTCAACTGACTAAAGAATACATTTGTAATAAAGAATGTATAGTTAGTCACAAACCTCTTCCTGGAGTTTTGAATTAGTCTTTTCTAAGCAGTCTATTTTGCTCTGAAGATCACCAACTGTGCAGCTGTAGCAAAAAGTTACACTTGCTTTAGGTAAAAAGAAAGCCATATTCAGCTTTTATCCACTCCCATAGTTGTATTTTCTATAAAAATATCAGTCAACAGCAACTTCATGATTGAAAGGCAAAAATATAAAAATCCTAGTTAATAATGCCAACTACTTTCACAAGAGGTAGCAGTGGGGGAGAGATGTCAGCTTGCCAAATTTGTCTGATATGTAGGTAAAGGCAACAGGCTGCTACAACCAGTGCATGGCCCCTAGTCTGAGCTAAGTGTTCCAAGTACTCTGCTGACCCTGAGCAAACGGGTGCTCCTCTAACAGTGAGGGGGGAAGAGGCAGTATAAAGAAGCTTCCATACATCAAGAACGAACCAGTGTTCCAGGTCCTTTATGTCAATGGAGCTGGGTAAAAAGGATGAAGTATAGCTCAGAATGACGTTCTGACTTTCTAGAGACTTCTTAAAAAGCTCTAAGCAATTTTCCTCTTCATCTTGCCAAATCAAAGGGTGTCTTTTCTGCTGTTTCAAAATACTTAAAACTGTCTATGCCTCGCATTAGTACAGTCCAATTTGCTTTTGTACTTTTCCCAGTTCAGAATCTATAAAAATGGCAAGCCCTACAACAGGTCCTCAAAATCAAAATCCAGTCTGCCTGCTCATGTAAGACTACTACCATTAAAAACATTATTACATCATTTTCAATATCTGACCACAGAGGCACGAGCTTATTTGTATATGGCCAGTAGATAAATGGAACAGCTAGTGGAAGCCACAAACACAGGCCAGACTGAAGTTGACAGAAGTATAACTGCATTCTTTATTACATTTTCTAGTGGAGCTGCAAGGAAACTTTTAATCATGGTCGACTTTTCCAGTGGAAGCCACTGAATGTTCATGGCAGAGGCAAGACCCCCAAAACAAGAATGTGGAGTTACCCCACCTCCTTGGAGCCAATCCAACAGAGCACCCAACTTCAAAACACAGGAGTAGCCCCATTGTCCTCTCTCCCACAGCATTTGCTGGATCAAGGACTAAAGAGAAAAATCAGTCGGTTTAATTCCCCAAGCTCGCCATGGAGCTCTGCTTGCACCCCTAAGTGTATTCACTCATCCCACAGAGCAGTGGTTCTCAACCTCATTAGCCACAGCACTTGGTTGAGAATCATGACTACAGATGTTAGGAACAAGAGTAGGTTAATACTTGATTACTTTGATTTAAATCTGAAATGGAGATCAGCTTTTCTCTTTAAAAAAAAGGAGTCTGTATTTTTTGTATCTGAAGTATTTGGCTAAGAGACATAAGGTTTGCTAGGAATACCTTAGCAGCTTTGAGGGGCAGGCAGAAGAGGGGGAAAACAAAAACCAATCAATCAACATTCATTGCCATCATAACCCCATTTTAAGGGTGACTTGCATTCCCAATGACTGTTTCATTCAGTCATTTGAGTTCTGTACATAAACAACGCAGGGAGTGGCTACTTAATACTGTATGCATGACTGCACTTGCTTAAACTATATTTAACAATTATGCCCTCAAACAAATCAGTCATATTGAAAAAAAGCACAAGTGAAATACAAGGCAGCTGGGCCATCCAGTTACAAAACAAACCAGCAGTAGATTCCTTCTGTGTTTTGTCAAAGGAAAAAATAGTTGACAAACAGCCAAATAATTACAAATAAAAAAAAACAACAAAACCAACCAGCCAAAAAATAAAAAGCCAGGCAAAAAACCAAACTGGAACAGACGTTTTAATAGGGGAAATGAATATCCCCCAGAATGGTGCGCACACAAACATGCAAAGCCCACTATGGTCACTCACTCTCACTTGATGCAGTGAAAATTCATTTTTGAGAGGATGACTAAGTCCAGAGAGGCATTATGTTCAAGAATCTACCAAGAATTTTCTTCCTACAAGATGTGCATTTTCAAGAAAACTCTTCATTTATCAAATTATTTTACAGGCAAATTCTACAAAGTTTAAGGACAAAGAAAAACAAACAAACATGTAACAATGTGTGTTCCTGCACTGAAACTGAGAACTCCTACCTTAGATGTCGATTAAGTTCTTCCACATAATGCTTCTGGTCAAGCACAGCAGTAATCCCTCCATCCCTAAAATAAAGTGAAATTATTTAAGGCAATGCCATTCGTTACAAACTACTAGCCTGCACCAGATATGAGGTTCTCAGCCTGGGCTGGCCAATAAATGTCAGAGGTTGCAACAAGTTCCCTTCCCACATTTTTAAATTGAATGAGTGTCCCATTAGAATGCAAGGACCTCTCTGTACCAGACAAAGTTACATAGTTAGTAAACTTAAAATAAATGGTTATGGATGAAAGATGAGCTTGAAGGAAAAAAGTAACAGTAGCACTGTGCGCCAAAATGGGGTAAATAAAAAAAAAGGGGGAAATAGAAGACTGGGGACGTGGGAACAGCAGGGGTACCAACAAGACACGTATCAAGTATAGGGGCTGAGTTCCAAACAAGCACATACAAAACAAATGAAGATGCTCTAATATCAGCAGCCCTAATATTGCCTAAATGAATGTCCTGTAATAGGAGATTTCAAAAATAACCTGACATAGCTCAAATGACTGTGTATGCGTATCTGTCCAGTTTTGGTTCTGGGTGTAATGGATAATGCTTTTATAATTCAAGTTGCAAAGGGCAAATGAAGTACATTTCAGTCTAATCTCAGAAAGAATGGGTTTTGTTGTTTTTTTGCACACAGGTGCCAAGATGCATTTGAAAGTCAAAAGAAGTAAACAGAGAAACAAATGCAGGACTTGTCCTAAGGATGAAGTGACAGCAGCCGTTGAGAAAGGACACTGTCAACTTGAATGTTAGTGTGTTTCGAAAGTAAATGTAAAGTGACTCGAAAACAGACTAGCATAGCTAACTACCTCTCTCTCTAAAACACAGCATTAAGTTCACCCTGAACGTTTTCATGCTCTTACAATTAAGTTCTTCTGTTTTGGTAAAATGTTTCTCTGTCCCTTGTATGAAAGAGACCATAAGATGCTTTCAAATACAAGTAGTAAAACAAACTATGGTTTTTTTCCTCCTCCCCCCTGCCACTCTTTCAGCTACAGTACGCATCGGTTTTTTTCCTCCTTCCTCCTGCCACTCTTTCAGCTACAGTACGCATGGTGTTGCTTGTACCACAAGTAGAAGGTAAACATTCTCTGACAAACAGACTTTTCCCTTTAAATCCAGTATGGCCTGCAAGTCTCCATGTATGACAGACAATTCAGTGGTACTCTGGAGTGGCTTATATGGTGCCAAGGCAAAACCACATGCCCTCATCAATTAGTTTGGCACAATATATCCCCATAAACTCAGATCTTGATAACTGATAGCAGGGACTACAGTTGAGGACAAACTCTGACCCTACATGTGGCAACCAATGTGCTACCACTGAACTGCTATGACGATTCCAGTATTTGGAAGTTAACAAATTTTGCATGGTTTATCTGTCAAGACCTATTTAGGATGCTGTGTTTTTCCTGAAACAATTAAAAGGGTTCTCCCAATATGGATATGCTGTAATGGACTAACATTTGACAGTTTAAGGTTCTTACATTTTTGGGGTTAAAAAAAACCCAAACCAAAACACACAACAAAAAGCAAACACAGTTAAGAATCAATGGGATATCATACATACTGTTTGAGATCATCATTGTTCTGTGTGTCTTTAAGGTACAACGAAAAATCAATCACTCCAACCTGATAAAAACAAAAACAAAGAACCATGGTGTTATCAGGCAAATCAGTTGAAATATTTTGAGCAACAGTAGACATCATCTTCCTGGTTTCGTTTACTTGCTTCTCCATTTCATATTCTGAGTAAACCTTAAGCTTCATAATGCCTTTCCAAGCAAACCATAAATGAAGATGCTCAAGTATCTTTTTTTCTTCAAATAATCAACATCACAATGAAACCTAATAATATGGTCTGCTTTTTGTTCAGCCTAGACTTGTCTACAGCATTCAAGTTGCTAGCACAGACTTTTGACAGATTCCCATGAATTATTATGGAAAAAAGTAGTAAGTGTTAATGCTGCTAGTGTAGACTGGGACGACACTGAATCAAGAAAACCTCAATAATATCGTATATGGACTTATTTCAGGCAGTGAATCCATATTAGGTTTTCTGGACCACTACTTTAGAAAAGGTATGTTATTTCTGTTCCATCACTTCAGTCCTTTTCAATGAACATTTGATACCATGCTTGTATGTGCAAGTTAGACAAACACTTGGTTGGGATGATTTCAGCTGGGGTGATCCTGCCTTGCACAGCGTGTTAGACTAGATGACCTCAAGAAGTTCCTTCCAGCTATTTCTTCATGATTCAGTAATCATCATTTTCATCATATATTCTGTGTTTTGCTCTCTGCAGCCTAGTTCATTTTTAGTGAATAGTCTTGATTCCTCTGCCACCATGTAGGTCTTGCATACATCGGTAGCCTCAATTCAGCAACATATTTAGGTGTGTGCTTAACTGTGTTGGCATCTGTATGACATACAGACTCTCTCTGTAGCTAGAGACAGATAGGCCTGGAAGCAATGGCCTCAAACTGCAGCAGAGGAAATTTTAAGTTGGAGATTAGGAGGGACTGTCTGACAGTGTGGTCCAACATTGGAACAGGCTCCCTAGAAGTTGTGGAATCTCCATCACTGGAAATTTTCAAGAGATCAGACAGGCACTCTGCTGGGATGGTTTAATCAGGGATCCTTCCTTGAACAGGGGGCTGGACTACATGACCTCATGAGATCCCTTTCCAATCCTAATTTCCTATGATCCTATTAGTAGTTTTCCATGTTAAAGCTCGATGTTACCTGGGAATCCAGATCTTCTCCTTTCAGGCAAAGGTTTGCATCAATAACATTCAGTCCCACCAACAGACCTACAATCACTGCTCCTTCCTCCTCCATCATCAACGCATCAGGTTCATAAAATTCACTAGAACAAATAATCTTATCAGTAACAATCATGATATATATTTGGGTTTAAACACCAGTTACAATAGCAGGAGTTCCATCTACTTAAAATTATTACATTAAATGATACTGTTCCTTTCACTTCGAGTGAAATTATGAATTGATCCTTTTGCCTTTGCTGATTTATGCAACAAGAGCAGACCTGAAAAACTGAGAAAAAGGAAATGCAGAGCTCATAAGAGAGGGCTTTTACTAAACACATACCTAATCTGAGGAATTAATTGCCCTTATGGCTAGAACATTTAAAAATGAAGTCATTAGATTTGTAACCTTGGGCATGCTTAGTAAACAAGGTTATGGTAACTATAAATACTAACAGTCAAGGATTCCCAAAATGAGTGTGTACACGTGCTTTTGCCTTACTCTTGGGATGTCCAGCAAAAGTGACAAAAATATGCCTAATGTATTGATAAGCATTTCGTTTCTGTTCACTGGGAGTAAATGAGCACTGAACAGTACTATGGAGTTAAAAGTAATTGATGAATTAAAATTAATGTACTTAGATTACAAGAAGGTTCTCGAAAACTAAAATGCACATTTCATTTGTCATACAGAAGCAGTGTATAAGCAAAATATGAATTGGATATTTATTTACCTTAATAGATGCTTATGATCCAAGAGCACTTTCAGGTAATCTGCCAGTTTCTTTTGCATTAGTGCAAGATAAAGCCAAGCCCTTCCCCTTCCTACTGCAGTCCTACACAGAAACACGTAAACCAGTATCAACAGTTGCAGTAAACCAGGATTTAAAATGTTAATTCATGAATTCAACATTGTAAATTTTAAGGGAGCATGTGATTAAATTGGAGTTAAGAATTTATTATGCAAACATGAAACTTCACAAAAAGTAAAAGCCGTGTCATCACAGGTATGGAATTATTTTAATAAGTTATATGGTTCAAATGAAGGGAAAAATATCAGAACAAGTTTGCCCCAGGACGTATTTAAATTTGTATTAATCTAAACAGACACATTCCATTTGTAACTGATTACAGTGAATGTTTAACACGTTTCCCTGCAACATTTGCAAAAAAACCCAAACATTGCAACATCCCATTTGCATATAGGAACCAGGAAAGGAAACCAGTATTTTTTTTTTTTTTTTTTAAATCAGATGTGCACAAAAAATGGTTAAGGGAAATTAAAAGTGGTTCGACTTTGAATAGTCTAAGGTTATTTGTAAACACAAGTAAGGGAGTTTTCCAAGCATGATTTTTTACTCTGTTAACATTCTGTTAGAATTGAGAACTGTTTGCATTTCCAAAATACTGGTAGATGTATACACATGCTGCTCTCTTTTATGGAATACGTCCTTCCAGCCAAGGCAAAGAGGAACATGGTGAGACTACACTATCTGTGTAAGATTACTGCACCTGTCAGCTTCCAACTCACTTCAACTCAGGCAGGTTTTTAACACTAGTTGCTATATCCAAGGCTTCTGGACAAAGTTTCTCCACCAGCTCCAAGGGACCAAAAAATGATTTGCTTTGTCCAATAAAGCTCTTCTTAACTAAAAGGAAAGACACAGTTATGCTAAGCAACAGGAAAGAGTTGCAAACATCCTCTTTCAATTCAAGAATTACAAACAAGAAACCTCTAAAATGTACAATATTTCCACCTAAAGGATCCTAGTATGCACATGGAAACAACACATCAGCATTTACTGCAGACTCAGAAATAGAGTACTTGTGTGCATTCGTGTATGCAATTCATTTGAGCCTTTCCCAGTACTTCTCCCCATTACTGATTATCATTTTACATTAAAAGTTAAGTCTACGTTATTTAGCCTAAACCACAAAGAAACACATCACTGGATTTCTCACCCCCTGGCCTCAATACTTCAGCCAACATGCACTGAAGGAGAAACTAGGGTGCTCACCTTTCAGCCCATGCTTGAGACAGTGCTCCATCACCACGAAGAACTGCTGCAAGGGAGGGAAGTCAGAGTCCAGAGTCCTACCCAGGCTGAGGGCTGCCTGGATCAAGACTTTAATACTGAGCTTCATCATATTCATCAGGTTGGCCCGTTCTTCCATTGTGTGGTATTTCAGAGCTAAGGGGGGAGGGAGAAAAGAAAAAACACACACAACAGTGTTGAAATCTTCCTGGCTCGTTTCCTTGGAACATTACGAAGGCCGAAGCGCGGGCATCTCAACCTGCCACGGCTTAGTTGGCTTTTAAAACACGAGCTCTCAACCAAAACCCAACAAGCCTAAAAAATTCACATAAAAAGGAACTACAGGCTCAACGCCGTTTCACCATAACGCTCATTTTTTTAAAAAGTCAATACCCGATTTCACTTCCCGCTCAGCGAGTTTCGTTACAATGCTCATGGTCGCCACCTCGGGTCATTCAAAACCATTGCGGTCGCCATCCCAGGTCGTGAAATACTTTTGGTTTCACTTAGGGCTCGTTTTTTTTTGTTTTTTGTTTCCAGGAATCAATTAAGAGCGCAAGGCAGGGGTTGCCCGTACTCCAGCCAGGAGATCTTACCACCCCTTCAGCTCTCCTGCAAAATAGCAAGTCGTCATTTCCACTGGAGGAGAAATTTTATGAATTTTCATTTCCGCCTAGAAATTTTACAATCTTTGCACTCTCCTATGCCCGCAAAAGGGCGAGCGTGTCCGAAAGCTTGTGAATCAAGACTTTTTTGTTGTTGTCGCAAATATCGAGCGGGTCTAATAAAAGATATCGTCTCTAGCACGAAGCCCGATTCTGTTTACGGGAAGGCACCGAGACCCCTTTTTTAAAATCGGGGCTGTGCGTGTTGGAGTCAAGGCACCAGATTTGTTAAATAAGCTACAGGGCAAGGACCAGAGGAGTGCAGGCGGACCCCCACCTCGCCTGACAGGCTGTCCCCGCAGGGCAGGTCCAGGAGAGGAGCCAGGCGGGGCCACTGCTCCCTGATGCACCCACCTGCCCCTCCCCCCGGCTCCCGCCCCG